CCGTAGTCCATCCACAATGCAGATTTTCCAATGTAGATTCTCCAAAAGTCGACGACAACAGAATATCGTGGAATTCACCATATTAGAAAAGTGGCAACATAGCTATCCCAACTTGAGTCCTATGGATTGCTCTGTATTGAGTGTGCCGAAGACAAAGCATTGCCACAAGCATAATAGGAACATCGACCACTGAGCATGCTCGCGAATACTTTGTAGTATGGTTGCTCTGGTGTCAACGCGAGCTGGTAACGGAATCGACGACTTTTGCGTTCTGACGCCCCTTATCAGCCCTTATCAGTTGTAACCACTTTCCATCACCCACCAACAATGTCCCCGTCCCACCCCACATAACACCTGTGAGTATGGTTGCTCTGGTGTCAACGCGAGCTGGGTAACGGAATCGACGACTTTTGCGTTCTGACGCCCCTTATCAGCCTTCAGTTGTAACTTCATCACCCACCAACAATGTCCCCGTCCCACCCCACATAACACCTGTGAGCATGGTTGCTCTGGTGTCAATGCGAGCCAGGTAACGGAATCGACGACTTTTGCGTTCTGACGCCCCTTATCAGCCCTTATCAGTTGCTATCGCTTCCATTCATGTACCACCATTGTCCCGGGACCACCCTACATAACACTTGTAAGTATAGACGCTCTAGTACCAATATGATATGAACGACAAAACGAAATTGGCGATGCTCGCTTTCTAGCTCTTATCAGCTATATTAATCTAGTCGTTTATTCAGTTCTACACATACATGGTGCCTCCACCTCCTATAAGTATATCGTAAACCATGTGCGCTATCGTTGCTGTGAAACCAAGCACGAAATTTCTTCTGCAAACAAAGTGGAATCTTTGAACAGTTCTCAGCAGGCATAGTGGGCCTATTATGTGACATTTTCCATTTTCAGAGGAGATGTTTTGCAGAAAGCTGTGAAGATAGCGAACAATTTCCTTCACTGTCGTAGACTACGGTCACTTGTCTGTAAGGATTATATGGAAACCTTGGTCGCAGGTGAGCGTTTCTTCCGTGGTGTGACCCCAAACATCACCCCTTGTCATGCCTTTGCCCCCTATTACGTGACAAGTCCCATTTTTAGAGGAATGTTTTGTAGAAAGCTGTAAAGGAAGCGAAGAATTTCCTTCACTGTCGTAGACTATGGTCTTGTCTGTAGGAATTATGTGGAAAACTCGGTCGCAAGTGAGCGTTCCTTCCGTGTGGCCCCAAACATGCCTCCTCGTCATGCCCTTGTGGAATGTTCAGATTTTTTGCATTTCCAGATGAACTCGCAGACCTGAAATGTGCCCCGTTAGCTTCCCCGTGAAAAATGCTATCGAATGATATGCATTACTTCCCCAGTTGAAACTTTGGTTTTTCACCGTTTTCAGCCTTCCCCTATTGCCGGATTGGACCAGGGTGAATAACGGTCGAGGATTTCCTCGACCATAGCTCTCTACCATGCGAGAGTAGTGCCGAGAGTGAACATCCGCGCGGAGAGCACAGACGGCACGCCCATGGCGAGTGTGAATGTCCGCGCGAGAGATCGTGTCTGATCGGGCAGAGAATCCTCGACGTGCCGTTGAGGAATCCTCAAGCGATATTCACCCTGTTGGGCACTATCACGATTACTGCCCCAAAATCTCAAAGTTTCATTTTTCGTCGAAACTTTGTCTATTGGGGTAATTCGATGCCCTGATTACGAATATGACATTCATTTTTGATGCTGGTGTCATTTGGCGCCATTTGGCGCCGTTTGGCGCCAATTTGGCGCCACGGCTGTTTTCACCAAATCTGCTGAAACTTCGTCATTTGGGGTTATTTGGGGTCCTGATTACGAAAACGACACCCGTTTTTGGCGCTGGCGCCATTTGGCGCCACGGCTGTTTTCCACCAAATCCGCTGAAAACGTGTGTATAGGGGTTATTTGGGGTCCTGATCACGAATATAACATCCAGTCTTGACGCCGGCGCCATGTGGTGTCACAAACAACACTTCACAGTCAGAGCGTACTCTTAGGCACCTTTCTCAGAGCGCCGACTGTCAGACCGTGGAAAAGGTCATCGAATCGGAGACTTTCCACGACAGGAAGGAGCCAGAAGCATGTTTCACGTTTTCGACAACGGAGAATAACGATGGCTCTTGCTACTCTTTAGCGACACAATCGTCAATGAGAGCTACTGGGCTTAGCCTTGAAGGACGTGTACGAGACGCTCAAGTTGAATAAATCTGCACTTACTGGTTGCGATCCATGGGGTTGATGTCTGTGCCACTATGCCATTCATGTCAACGATCCATGAGCCTGATCAACGACGAACGGCACAACGGCTGGATTTGCAATCGTCGAGCGTGCCGCACTGGACCGTCGAACGAGACCAGGGTCTACGTTCATGCCCGAAAGGATTCCTTTTTCGAGAACTGTAACTTTCCTGAGTCCACGGTGTTCGCACTGCCCTATTTCTGGCTGCGCGACATGGGCAAGGTGAAGGACAAGGAATACGAGCTCAACGTCGGCCACACCAGTTCAATTTCAGTGGGAGCGGTTCTTCCGCGACGTATGTGTGGGGCACTTCAGGAGGAACCCGCCGATCATCGGAAGGTTTGGGTGCGAGATGGAAATTGACGAAACACTGGTTATCAAACGCAAATACAACCGCCGACGTTGGGTACGCAGGCACAAGTGGCTGTTTGGAGGCATTGAAAGAGGAAGTGGACTCCTTCGGATGGTCCGAAGGAAAGACGTTTCAACTCTACTGCGGCTCATCATGAAGTAGTACATCGAGCACGGTACTACCATCCTCAGTGGCAGCTGGAGAGCTTACAGTCGAATTGCTGCTCTGCCCAACGCATACAGGCATCTCCAGTGAAAACGTGAAATATGCTTCTGGCTTAGCTCACAGTTTTCCACGGTCTGGCTCCTTCCTGTCGTGGGAAAGTCTCCGATTCGATGACCTTTTCCACGGTCTGACAGTCGGCGCTCTGAGAAAGGTGCCTAAGAGTACGCTCTGACTGTGAAGTGTTGTTTGTGACACCACATGGCGCCGGCGTCAAGACTGGATGTTATATTCGTGATCAGGACCCCAAATAACCCCTATACACACGTTTTCAGCGGATTTGGTGGAAACAGCCGTGGCGCCAAATTGGCGCCAAACGGCGCCAAATGGCGCCAAATGACACCAGCATCAAAAATGAATGTCATATTCGTAATCAGGGCATCGAATTACCCCAATAGACAAAGTTTCGACGAAAAATGAAACTTTGAGATTTTGGGGCAGTAATCGTGGGATAGTGCCCAATCCGGCAATAGGGGAAGGCTGAAAACGGTGAAAAACCAAAGTTTCAACTGGGGAAGTAATGCATATCATTCGATAGCATTTCACGGGGAAGCTAACGGGGCACATTTCAGGTCTGCGAGTTCATCTGGAAATGCAAAAAATCTGAACATTCCACAAGGGCATGACGAGGAGGCATGTTTGGGGCCACACCACGGAAGGAACGCTTACTTGCGACCGAGTTTTCCACATAATTCCTACAGACAAGTGACCATAGTCTACGACAGTGAAGGAAATTCTTCGCTTCCTTTACAGCTTTCTACAAAACATTCCTCTAAAAATGGGACTTGTCACGTAATAGGGGGCAAAGGCATGACAAGGGGTGATGTTTGGGGTCACACCACGGAAGAAACGCTCACCTGCGACCAAGGTTTCCATATAATCCTTACAGACAAGTGACCGTAGTCTACGACAGTGAAGGAAATTGTTCGCTATCTTCACAGCTTTCTGCAAAACATCTCCTCTGAAAATGGAAAATGTCACATAATAGGCCCACTATGCCTGCTGAGAACTGTTCAAAGATTCCACTTGATATACAGAGGATGGGATATTGAGAGCAGAGGGAACACGTAAAGCCAGTAAGCGCTTAAAAACGAAATGAAGATCTAAGAATTCGGAAAATAACATTCATCTAATCTCACAATGTAGTGGATGAGATTGAGTACGTGGCGCATTCTGGGGTAAGTTTTGAGGCCCTTCTCTGTGTGTAGCGGTTAGCCCGCATAAGCGGGATTATATACACATCACATGCGAGCAACTACTTTTTGAGATGAAAATCGAGTGCATGGCGCAATCCTATATGGAGCTTTTCCAAAGTATCAAAGCACATTCTTATAGTGTCCGACGAGCTGAATTCAAAGATATCTTCGGATTCTCGAAAGCTCAATTTTGAACCGAGTTATAACGAATTCACGAAATTAACGAGGATTCGCGTTATTCGCGTGAATTTTCGATTTCAAACGGCGAGTACTGTAAGCTACTGGTCAGGGCAGCGCTGAGCAATAGAAGTATCGCTGCACTGAATCTTAGAAATGGGAAACATGAATGCCATTCCATAAAGGGACCCGCTGATGGAGGCAGAAAAAAGGAAAAGAATCTGTCGAAACATTGTAGCTAAGGCAGTGGAAGACAGAGCAAAGAGGAGAGTCTGAGCGAGAGCATCAGTGCTGATCCCTAAATGGTGCATGTCCTCCATGTTGCAAATGAGGAAAATAGAAGCAGTTGAAGTGGTGATAAAAAGGCCCTAGCGCTGTTACCTTGAAGTATTGCTGGAAGCATGGAACACCCGTGAACTAGATTAGTGTAGAACTCTGCCCCATGGTTCCTCTATCTAAGCATAACCTCTGTTGTGCCTCTGAGCCATCGGCACCGATATTCTACAAATGAAGCAATCACTTTTCTATGCAGCAATTGAAAATTAATTTTTTTCCTAGACCCGCACACGCATCTCGAAATTTTGAATTCCATGCTGGTTACTAGCAGTGGAAGAGAAACATTAGGTATTCCGGACAGTTTTTATCACTAGTACACGTCCATTTTTTGACGCCTGAAAACTAATATGTCTACAATTTTGCTCAGTTAACGGAGTTGACAGTGGGGCGTCATTATTGTTCGTGCATATAAAAGTCTAGCAGTGAAAACTATAGTATCACTTCTCCAGTTTTCTACCATGAGGGAAGTTTCATCTGCAATTCTTTGTTGTGCTGTCGATAGTAAGTTTCATTTCATAATTACTGGCTGCTTAAGAATTAAACCAATTTCAAAGGTGGACCTCTCGCTAGTCTCGGCCCAAAACCCAGCACCAAGTCCTACAACAGAATCTACTACGGAGTCCACAACTGAGTCAACGACGAAGTCGACATCTGAGTCAATGACGGAGGCAAGTGTTTCGAGTACAGCGGGTAGTGGGGAAACAAAGGAGGTCACAACTGCTTCGACAACAGCTTCTACTACTGAAGCTTCGACCACTACTATTCCGTATGAGGGTGAGTATTCAATAAGAAATTCAAACGATTGTATTTTATTACCGATCATAATTTTCCTAAGGACCTTTAGTAAAGTTTTCATTGCTCGCTCTAAGTGGCACCATTTTCTTGGACCAAAACAAAATTTTTTACAAAGAGAATTCAGAGGACAACCAGATCTGCCCACATCACCGTGGCATGAAAGACACATTAAGAATAAGGGCATTAGTGGCTCACAATTATCGGAGGTAAATACTTCCGACCATAATTGTTGCGACTGAGGAAGTCATGCGATAATCATCATTCTTTTAAGGTCAAGGCTTGCTATGGGGCTTGTCAGAAACAAGAGAGGAAGAACACTGCCAACGGCGTCCAACATGAGACATTTGGTAATTTGAAATTCAATGCTACAGGTTTTACTTACGCGCATTTTTGGCGCAGTGGCAACAGGAATCATGTCACACTGGGTGGTTTTGCTGTCAGCAGGTATAGTCCTCCAAAAAGAACATTTTCCACGACGACAGCGCACCACATCCACAGAGCAGTGATACTTCCTATCACTGACAATTATTGTAATTATCTTTTATCTTTGAGAAACTTGATTGCTAAATACATTGATCGATGAAAATGAATGAGAACTACAGTGATCCAACTCACTGGGGACTCAACTTCTTCTCGAAGCGATTTTGCGTTCGAATGCTTCTGAAAATACCATTTGCAGGAATACAATTGCACAAGTGAAGCAATATGCCATACAACATGCGGTGAGGTGCTCTGTAGTTCCACCTTCGACAATGCCTTCTTTTGTCCAAGAAAACCACCATCTGGTTTTAAAGTCTTTAGCAAACACTAAGGAGAAAGCGCTTATAGTTGTAAGTTTATCATTTTGAGCTCAAAAGAGCTGAATCAGTGGCAGCAATCGCAATAATTTGATGTTGGTCACTCTCGGTAGCAAAGGTACCAATTTTTTCGACAATGGACATTCTACTTGAATAAGCCGTGAAAAGACCAAAAACTTGAGAACTAAGACCTTACAGTGATTGTTGACTTTAGACGATTTTGTGGATTACACGTTGCCTGTTAGGTGATGTGAAGAATATATACATGATTACAGCCGATTTCACGGCCGATTACGTCTGGTGAAATGCACTTTCACAATGCTATTGATTATGATATCATAAATTTCAATAATTGTGCTCGAAAAGTGACAGTTTCTGAGGGGCGAGATGAGCTCAACTGCATTGCCACTAGTGCATCTTGCACAGCGGAAACACCACGCGTTATTCCTTCTGCCTGGCTACCGCTACCAATCTTGCATGTACCTTCTTGGAATAGACTCACTTTCTCG